TATAATGAAGTATTTGGACTGTCATCTGTCTGGAACAGGAAAGTGTACTTGAGTGCACTTTAACTTTTTTTCTGATAAAGAGATTAAATGCCATTTGAGACGAAAGTGAAATTTATCACTATTTACTGGCAGTTAAATGGAATTTAGCAAATGGTTTGGCAGCCCCTCAGATTTTTATCTATAATTAGCGATGCTAATAATATTTGATCTCTATGACCCAAAGCTAAGAACTATCAGTATACAACATCTGATCCAGCACTTCTATCAGTCCAATGCAGAAATGGCAGACAGAACTCAGAATTAACTGCACAATATTTAAAAGGTTTGATCAGTGATAATTTGTTAAAACCCAGCTGTTTCATCAATGTGTTTAATAGCTGAACTGCCCAAACTACCGAAGAAAAATATATTTATGATGTTTGTTTTAAAAATTCTTATGAAATATTTTAAGGCAGAGGCTTAAGGGTTTAGTCTATTTACAAATATTACCATGCTATAAACAAATTAACATTTGTATCCAGCATGACTTCTTCAGTAGTTGATAGTCTAAGTCTGTGTTTATAAGCAATTTAATATAAAAATACCTTTTTTTTTTTAAGAAGTATGTTTCTTCATGTCCAATTGCACACTTTGTATTCATCATGGTTGCATTAACCGTGGCCAAAAACCAACATATGTAACAATAACGAAAGTAAAAAGCAACCTAGATTTAATTGCATGAGTCCAGGCTTGCATATTAATTAACTTTTGAGTAAGTATTTTATTTAAACAGAGTTGTTTTATGGAATTACGGTGTGTACTACACAACTTTCGTCACGGTTGCCAACTTTATTAGATACACAAGGCTGTTAAACAGTGAGCTCACCTCTGACTCAAGAACTCCATGTTCTCCACATGATAAAATAACATCCCAAGAATGACACAAAAAGGATAAACGGAAACCAAGAGGGGGGAAAAAAAAAACAAAACCAAAACCAACTTTTTCATTAACAAAAGTGCTATGTGCACCTATATGACTAAGGACATAATTCTAAGTGAAAATAATGTGGATCATGTTCGTTCAGTATGCTATTGTTAGAGTCAACAGCACACTGGGAAAACCCAACATCCCTTAGGATGTTGACTCAAGTGGAGAGACATGAATGGAGGAACAGATGAGTAGAATACATAGCAATGCCTAAACCAATAAACAGCAGCTGTTTTACAGTAAAGTACAACTTTCATACACCTAACACTATGTTGCAGCAGTTCAGGCACGGCATTTACCCCAGTTAGTTGTCCCTTCTACATAAAGAGCATTTTCCAGAAAATGGGCAGGGCAGTGACTCCTTCAGCTGTTCATGCTGCATTGGAATAGAAACCATGGGAAACTAACAAAAACACATAATCCTAGATGACGTCTTTCAATGATTCAACAAAAAAAAAAACCCAACACCCTAATTTGCAAGATGCTATTCCTAGATATAGAATCAAAAGCCCATATAAACATGAGAAAAAGAGAGATGTATTTGAAGTAAATGAGAAGTGAAATACAGCCCTATAAAAAAACCTGATGAGATGTTCGAGAAACCATAACTCAAATATCCCGTAAAGGAGACACAAAACAGCTTAGGGATATTACATATTACAGCCAACCCATTATCAAGATAAGCTGAATAAACTGTTGGCATACTCTACCAGAGAACACACACCACTAAGTTCAGTAGTTTTACCAAGTTTCCTTACAAGAACTGTATGCAAACACAAAAGAACAGCACATTTCGCTTTTTTATTTCCTTCACCAGCCAGAATAGCAAAAACACTCTCACAGAACCAGAACCCTTCTCTCACTTTTCATGCCAAAGCCTTTGAATTCTTTTAAGCTCTGTCATACATTCATTTTATACTTCTGCTCCTCTTTTCTGTGATATTCCTTTCATCCTGTACTCCAGGAAACACCTGTCTTGGATCCTCACAGTATAACAAGATCAAATTTTGTATTTACAGTTTAGTTTTACAGTTTTTCCCAGACAACCAATTTTTGAGGCCAAACAAATACAGAGTTCTGACCTGAAATAGTATACTAAAATAATATCAGAGAGATTTTATAGACTTTTTACAAATATTGCTATCCCTACATGCAACCAGTAATTAATTTCATTCTCATTAGATAAAATAGGAACCTGAGGTACAGACGTATTAAATCAGAAACTAAAGATACACTACAGTCTATGCTAGGACTTCCAACATGCACACACAGATAACTCTTCTGCCAAAAAAGGATTCAGGAAATAAATTTTATGAAAAACACTACCGTTTTGGTCTCCCCCCACCCCTTAATACCTGCATATTAACAGTATTATATTCACCGTGCTCGTAAAGAAAATAGTTTATTGGGACACACATAAGTAAAGCCACTTAAGACCCAGCATTCTGTACTGTGATTAGTGGCTTTGAAGCCATTAGCTTGTAACAGAGAAATGTAAGCCAGGTCATATGGAACTGGCATGAGGAAAACTGGATCTAAGAAAACAGCAAGATCATACCACCTTTTATAAGCAAGCTTCTGTCAGAAACACAATGAAAACTTAGAGAATAGCGATGCTCCCAGTTAATGTTAAACTGTAGAAAGTCATCTTGAATCTTTAAATAATTTTCAATTCATTTAATAGGTTTGTTTCTACTGTTCCTTATATGGTGACAGCTGATGAACCTTTTAACCAGATTAATCTCTGTTGCAGCAACCTCTTTAGAGTATGCAGTTCTGCACTGCTGTTTTTCTGGTCACTCCCTCTAATTTATTGTCTTTGCAGCTTTAAGAAGCAAAGTCCAGCACATTCCGAGAACCATCATATTACTAGCAAGACAATTACAGGTCACTGCAGCTGGAGTGCCAGTCCTCCACTGTTCCTTTTTTTATTTCCTTCCAGTTTCTTTGAATGAAATTTCCAGTAAGATCTCACACAGACACAAAAACAGAGCTCATCAGACAAGTCATATGTGCCTTTTTCACAATTTTGAAGTTGCTCTGCCCATGACTAGTGCAGAAAACACTGAATCTGCATTCCTGAAGTGCCCAAGTCATTTTTCAGACTTTAAACTGAACATACACTCTGTAGTACTTAGAAGATGCAGTCTGCAAAATGAAAGACGGACAAGTTTTCTTGCTGGAATTCATCTAAGAAACTACCTTCATAAAATATACTTGGAAATAACCTGTACCAATAATTAATAATGAGGCATCACATAACTATGTTTCAGTTATGGCATTGCTGATAAGTCTGATACAGGGGCATGACATAAAATATTCCGGAAAAAAGTTGAAATAGTTCTACCAAAGCTTTCTCAACACTGCACTGAACAGTGCACTGAACACTGCCTTATTCATATAAAAATATTCTTCTTGTCAAAATCAGTGACTGGTAGCACAACACAAAAGCCAACTTCAAGGCCTAATATTATGAAAAAAGAATCACAGATTAAGTCAGGTCCTGAAACTACTATTAGTTGACACTTCTCATTCTGAGTTGATCAAATAAATTTCACTAATAGCAATGTTACTTTCAAAAACCTTCTCTGCCTCGCACAGAAAGCCCCACTAAATGGTAGCATTAAAAAGCCATCATGGCTGTGCTATAACTACACTTAAAGCACCTTTTTAGAGCTGTTGCCTAACACCAGCCTATGGACATTTGGGTAATAACATGATATATATGCCCCTGCAGCTTGTTAAAGGGAAAAGCTAGAGGGATTTCTTCTCTCTACAATTTCTCTATATAATTAAGTATAGAAGGTCAGCCTACACTTCTGAGTTAAGCCTTCTGCCAATTTCTGATATTCACATTAAAGGAAAAAAAAAGTTTTACTGTGCTCTGTAATTTATCATGTCTCCACAAAGTCCATGCTTAGTGGGGAAGGCATTAGGAACTTCTGCAATCCCAAGATTACAAAAAAGCTACAAAATTCCATGACATGATAGAATACAGATCCTCAACCTTTTTCTCCCTAAACTCAGTCCCTAATGTAGAGAGGCTTTAGATAACTTGCAAAACCATATTTTATCCACATTAACATGTGGCTCGAGAACTGTTTCTGGTCATTTTCAGGACTGGTTCTGGTCAGTGGACAGTGAGCTGTTGCAATCAATAAATTAACTTTCACCTCTGAGCTAGAGAAGCTCTTTTCAACCACAATGCAGCTCAGACCACCTGTATTTTAACTTATGCCACAACTCTCCTCATATTCCAGCTCTCAGATTATTTGTGAAAACTATCTTCATGTATTCACAAAGCAGGATTATTTTCCCTCCTAGTTTACCTCCAGACTCCAGCACAACTACTATGGGACTGGATGATTCTACCAGAAGCAGCAGTTCATTTCACCATGACATTAGTTTCACGTCACCTAGAAATTCGTAACATTTAGGAAATGGATAAAAGACTTAAGTCTTTTGCATTTTTCACTTTAAAATGTTTTACTGAAAATTTTCCCAGATCTTGGGGGTGTGGGTATCTAGCCTCACATAGACCAAATATAGGCTCCTATGACTCTTTCCCCACTTTTCCCTGGTCCATAAGCACACTGGGAATGCTGGTATGCCAGTGACCCTTATTTTAAATAGCATTTCTAGCATAAAATGAGCAACATAAACATGCTTTGTTTTATTAGGGCAATACACATGAAGACTGGACACTCTTACAGTACCTGAGCCAAACCCCTGTGAAATATTTTTCAACTTGGTACCAGAGGCTCAGGCATAGTCCCTCTGCTATTTTCAGTGACGTTAACTGAGAATACACAAGCAAAGCCATCCATACAGTAGCCTTCAGGTGCCTTGTTTCCCCTCAGAGCAGTTCAACACAGAAGTTTGCTGGTCACTCCAGCTAACTTCTTTTTGTTTGGTCTTTTTTAAAAAAAAAAAAAGAAAAAAAGACACAGCAACAGCTTGCTGTTCTTTTTCGTGAAAACAGCTCTCTACCAAGATTAAAAACAAGATCACGTAAAACTTACGGCTTTCTCACACGTCAGGTATTGATATGTCTGCCGCGAACGACGGAGGACGACAGCGGCCGCCCGGGCCCGCAGCCCCGCGGGCAGCACCGCCTCTGGGGCGGGGGAGAGGCAGGGGTAGACGGGGCGGCCATTTCAGAGACGAGCAGCGAGGCCCGCGGCAGGGCCTCTGCAGACGCCGCCAAGAGGAGCGGGTGTGTCCTGCAGGGCCGCTCACCTGAAAATACGAAGCTGGCGGGATCATCGGCAGCTTCGAAACATGTTTTCCTCCCTCTGCCGCCATTTTCTCTCAGCTCTTCTCCCTTAAGCGATCGCCCGCCCCGCCACTCCCCACCGCCGCCATGTTGCGCACGCGCAGGGAGCACCTCTTCTCCCCCTGCCCTTCACCAACGGCTGCGCCTGTTCCTGATCCAGCTTTCCACTATACAGGCCTCGGCTTTTTTTGATTCTCCCTGGCACTTTTGACAAACACCTTCCTTACAGCTTGAACAGGCTCAAGGTGGGATTAAGAAGTCCAAGAACCAAGGTGAGCTTTTTAACAGCTTGCCTAACTACTTAACATCCCTTGCATCAGCCTGCTCGTTGCTGGCTGCTAACAGGAATTAATCTGACGGCCTGCATTTGTTTTGAGAGGTGTGTGATTGTGTGAAGTCGCAACTATTATCACTGGTATTATTTACACACCATGAGGAGAGGAAGCTGAAAATGAGAAGCACTCACTCACCAGGTGGAAGGAAAGAGCTCTCGCCATAGTGTTTGTTGCGAGATGGCTGCGCCAGAGCATGCTGGGAAGGAGGTGGCTGTGGCACACTGGTGGCTGTGTAGGGGACGGTGGTGCTGGTTTGTAGTCCTTAGGTGAGTAATCTTACTTTTCTGATCGTGTGATACAATGTTTTCCTGTTTTCAGGATTATCAGAGTGTTTCCTAGTCTTTGTTTCTCTTGCAGAAGAAGGGGAGAGTGGACTTGTCGTGTAGTTTGGGGAATGGGTGAGGGGTTATGTTTTTTCTGTGTGCTGTATGTAATACAATATAGCTACAGGTATAGCTATAGGTACCATTTGTTGATGTAATAATTCTAATAGAAAAATATTTTGAGGAATTGTGTCAGTAGGTGCTTATAGTATGGTTGGGGAATTCTGAACCCACTTGTCTTGTTCCATATCACGAAGTATTATTTATATTCAACTTTCTGAATTTCCCTTACTTTGAAATGTTTTTTTTTTTCCTTTCTGCTTTCAGTGGTACCAAAGCCAAACTGTTCTTAATCCCAGTAGATGCAGCTCTCTGCATTCTTTTTAGGAACAAAGTTAATTTCCATTATGTTTCTTGTGGATGGAAACCAGGCTGAGTTTGAGATCTGAGCTTGTTGCTTAATAGCTGCTTGGGCTGGACCAGAGCCTGGGGGATTTGGAAAGCCCAACTACATTGTATGAGAGGTGAAGGGAGAGGAAAATCAAAAAGGAAGAATAAAAACAGAGGTAGGGATAGAGGGAGACTTATCACACTGTTAGAATATCGTTTGAGGAAGGAGAAAGAAAAATGAGGCCAGGAGAGGTGACTAAGTATTGGGAAGAGGGAACTAAGTAAGAAACTGGAAGATGTGCCCTATATGCCACCTGGTGCAGGAGTTGCTTTCTCATCACCTACTTGAGAGGCCTCTTTTCTTTTTAAGGTGTTTCAGACTATATTTTAAATTTGAATGCATATATGTGCTTTTGTGCTTGAAATGTAAAGACATATTCCCATTGTACATATAAAAAAAAAATAGAATTTTTTTTTAAACTGTATTTTTCTTTTCCAGCTGAATGCTGGGGTTTCTAATGCCTTCCTGTAAAATATTTATCCATTTTGTAAAATGCAGGCTTAATATAAACTTTTACAAGAGTCTGAAAATAAGCTGTTACTGTATGATACAGATTGCAAATCCTAATTGGAAGGCAAGTTCTTTGCTTGAATACCTAAACAGGTAGTGTTTTAAAAAGTTGGATATATTGCTGTACACACTGTTTAGAGAGTCTAGCTTAAGTCTCATGCAAGTCACCAGCACACCTGAGCTGTTCTTAACATTTTTCTTTACTGTAGACGTATAGGGTTTTAAGAGTAATCGGGGGGTTATGAATCAGCAACACGAAATCTAGTGAGTAAAGAGGACGTTGTTCTTTATCTAAATATTAATATAGTGTCTTTTATTCCTATTCAAATTATTTAGAGTATTTTATGTATTCTAAGGAAGATAAATGTCTAAAAGAGACAGATTTGCTGCAAATGTTTTCAAATAATATATATTTATTTATATTTTGTATTAAAATCAGTTTTATTCGAGCAGCTTCTGTGGAGGGTCAATGGTCTCTTCAACTAAATTTTATGACAATTCACAATGTAAAACCATTTCAAGTAGATTTTTGTAATGAAAATTAAGATCATATGGAAGTAATCAAGCTTTTGTTTGGGTACTGTATAGGTAAGGTGAAAGACTTGTGGTGTTCCATAGGAATTCTTCCTAGTGCCTTTAAAAGCTCCACTGGCAGTGTCTACAGATAATTTGATTTAATTACCACTGAGAGGCTGTAAACTACAGGAAATTCTATTCAGTATCCCATGTGGTATGGTCTCTGCCAAAAGAACTCCAGGCACAAATCAATAATTATTTTCTAGGACCAGTTTGGTATTTCCATGCCCCCAGATTACTGTATCAGTATTTTGCTCAGAATTATTACCTTACCCAGTAAAAAGTCATGAATTTCCTGGCTTTATGTTGCTACCCTATTATATTGTAACAAGATGCTTCTGACCCATGAAAAATGAATGTGCATGAAAGTTGCCATGCTGAGATTAGCGCTACAGTCAGGAAAAAGTCCAGCCAGAATTCTTGAAAGCCAGCCACACTTTCCAAGAAGTTAAAGTAGAAGTGAATAGCACATTTGCGCTTTTAAAAATCGAAACACTTTTTTCGGTTTTGCTTTTTAATATTGCTGTCTTACCTGAGCTGTAGATCACTTGTATTGTTGAACGTGTCTTTTCTTTTATGTGTCTGTTTCTGCTATATATGTTCCCAATGGGCAAACTAATGAATGCATGATGTCTGATCCAGTAGAAGAGCAGAAGCCTTCACTCTTGCATGTATTGAGTTAGATTCTGATTATGCAACTCTTTGAAGCCCCAAACTTTTATGATGCAAACTTAATAACTTTTCTGCCTATAGCATAACAATTATAATTAGCTTCATTGTGCTTAATATGCATAATTTTTGCCCACTGGGAAGAACAGAAATGGATGTCATTGGCAATCTTCAGAACAGAAGTATTCCATAAATGTACTTTGCCTGCCAAGTGTTAGAATTTTGTACGTGCATTATATTTTTCCAAAGAAGTTAGAATTTACTACAATACCATGATATCACTTCAATTTTTAAATGAGGTTTAGTATTAAACCTCAAAAAATTATTCAAAAGAACAAGCTTTATTGGAGGCTTCAAAAGTGTCTCTAGATGGCCCAAATGTTAATACTTAGACTGGCAGGAGCAAGCAACATATAAATTTGCAAATTGCAGGTGATCTATGGTGAATGAAATACATTTTAGAGCAGAACAGTTAATGGAATTTACATTTTGGCTTTGTTATGAGTGAACTATAGTTGTTTTGTCTGAATGATTATTATAAAGTTGTTCATCTGTGAATCAAAACTACATACAAACAAACAGCATGGGGAACTTGTGGATGTCTACAAATGCTGATTCATTGCGTATGGGCTCAGATAACCAATTTTGTATTTGTCTGTATTTGTTCCTGTGCAAACTAAAAAGAATTCCCAAATGGGTGCAAGCAATTAAAATATCCTGTGAGGAAAAATAGGCTAGGTAGCTTAACCACTCTAGCAACGGAGCAAATGCACTTATCTGGAACTCTGAGAAAACTTCAGGGCTGAGCGGTTTCAGAGAGATGTTCACCCAGATGAATACTAGACAAATGGCCTATATAGCTATGTCGAGAGCTATTCAGATGCTTGAGTGTGAAAGTTTGCTCATTACTTGTCAAACTTGATGGTAAAACTCCAGTCAGGGAAGATTTGGGTCCAGTCTCACTTTGCTGTGACTTTGAACTTGTTGCTATTCTGCTGTTCTGCAGTTCTTTCCTTTTACAACGGTGACAGTTTCTTCGTATTATAAAGTGCTTTGGCATCTCTCTATATATAATCTACTGCTGGATGCCATTTTCTTCTATTTTTTTATATGGCAGGTAAGCCTTTTCATTTGCATCCCATTTTTCAATCAGTTTGTTACATGGGTTAGTTTGTATTACAGTTCTGTCGGGATAAACTTCAGCCCATCTTATTCAATGCAGGTTTTAGGAGGCCTCTTTTATTGACATGAATGCTTATGTTTTCACTGTTCTCTTTTTTCACTGTGATTTTACTGCTGAGTGGTATTGTACTGAAAATTATTTGATAAGACAATGAGGTAATTGTTATAGTCCGTTACCTTTCTGCATCATGACACCAGGAAGAATTCCCTTAAAAATGTCTTAGAGTAAATCTACAGTCCTCGTAACATACTAATGTCTTACTGTAATCCTGAAGTGTTTTGAGAAGGGCAAAAACACAAGTATGTATTTAAAAGCATCATTTATGTTCCAAAGTGTCTTTCTCTTGATCTAGAAGATGGTGCTCAGCATTCATTCCATGGAAACAAACATTGCGATTACTCATCGTTTTAAGTTACGTTCTGATTTTAAATAGACCAAAATATGACCTAAGAAATCCCATTAACTTCTAAGAAGTTAGGCTTTTAATTTTTTTTTTTCCAATCTGTTTCTTAGTTGTTAGGAATCCACACGCTCAAGCTACCCCCAGATATGGTTAGCAGACAACGATGAGGAGAATGATTAAATGATAGTTTGATCAGAACATTCTTCTGGCCCTACCATGGTAGATGAGCATCGTGTCAAAAAGAGCAATGACTGAAGATTCCTCTGTTGCACTGTTTGCTGTGTCTATTTAGATCTTCATGTCAAGGAAACAGACTACCATAGTGGCCTAGGAGATTTATGGAAAGCTGTGTAACTTCAAAGGCAATTAAAAAAAAATAGTAATTTTCAGAAAGTCAAACAATAATGTTTACCCAAAAGTGTTAGGAAGTACAATTCTTGTTCAACAAACTTTTAACCACCAGAGGCAACTGGGGGCATTTCCTTGAGAAGGGCAAACTGTCACTTAGTGAGAGTGAGAGGGTCTCAGCTGCAAAGCAGTCAGTAGCACAGAGAGATTCCTGTGGTTTCCAAAGTAATA